GTCCAAGGGACTCAAAGGAGTCTTCTCCAGCACCATAGTTCAAAGGCCTCCATTCTTTGTCACTCAGCCTTCCTTACAGTCCAACTTTCACAGCCATCCATTGCAACTGGGAAAACCATAGCCTTGACTATGCACACTTTTGTTGGCAGGATGATGTCTCTGCTGTTTAGGATGCTGTCTAGATTTGCCATAGCTTTCCTCCCCAGGAGCAAGCGTCTTTTAATTTCTTGGCTTTAATAAAGCATCTTTATTCAAAGCCTTGAGCCACAACGAAACAAGCCACGTGATGTTTTTGTGCAATTCGTGGTTCAGATATCTATTTATCATGATGCCTCCAACTGAGATGGCAAAGTGCATGGAGGAATTGGCCGGAGACAGGATTGTCTCTCTTCTCGTCGCAACTGCAATGCATCTCCACCCGGCGAGGACATTTGCCCTTTTGGGTTGTGTCTCAGAGGCTGCAGCCAAGCACGGTTTAATGGGGTCCCCTCTGTTCAACCAGCTGCCTTGCTGGCCTTAGAAGCAATGGGAATTTTCTTGGCTACTGGGCAGATAAAGGGAGGCCGATTGAGGCCTTTCCAGATCTGCAATTCAGCAGAATCGGTAAACAAAGTACAAACTAAGGAAGCTGATCCCCTAACCACACGCTCCATTTCTCTCAGACCGAGGTGTTTAATTACCATATTTTTCAGCGTATAAGATGCACCTTTTCCCTCAGAAAAGAAGGTGAAAATCTGGGTGCATCTTATACATTGAATACAGCATTTTTTGCCTCCTGAAACCCCGCCCCTTCACCAAAATGGCCATGCACAGTCTTTAGGAAGCTTCCAGAGTGTTCTTGGGGGCTGGAGAGGGCAGAAATGAGCGAAAAATGGGCAATATTTTGCTCAATTTTGCCCCCCCCTCCCCAGGAGCACTCTATAAGCCTCCTAAAGGCTCCATGCCCTTATTTTGCAAAAAAGGACTGTTTTTTGCACATTTTTTGAGGGGCCCCACCCCTCCAGGAGCACTCTACAAGCTCCTAAAGGCTATGCATGCCCCCCTTTTAAAAACAAACAAACAAATGGGCTCGTTTTCACAAAAAATGGGCTGTTTTGGAGAAGTCTGCAGATTGCAAAAACTTTTTTTTAAAAAATTGCCTCTTCAAAATCTTGGTGCATCTTATACTCCGGTGCATCTTATGCTCCAAAAAATACGATAATAGTTAAATTTGTTCCACTAAAAGAGTCAGCTGTATCAATTTGATAAATAAATAGAACAAAGACGATTGGGGGATAAAGATGATTGGGGGATTGGCCGCTAAAACATACGAAGAATGGTTGCAGGAATTTGGCTACGTCTAGTTTATGGAAAAGAAGAAGTAGGGGTGACATGATAGGAGTGTTCCAATATTTGAGGGGCTGCCACAAAGAAGAGGGGGTCAAGCTATTCTCCAAAGCACCAGAGTTGGAAGGACAAGAAGCAATGGATGGAAACTAATCTTGGTCTGAATATTTTTATTTCATTTTCATTTTCATTTTC